TTTCCTTAAAACCCCCAAATTTGGTTATTTTTCCCATTCCTCCAGTAACCCCTTTTCTTTTGGGAAAATTTTTTTTTTTGTTGGGGGAATCAAAAAAATTTTTTTCCAAACCCATTTCCATAATTAACAAAATTTTTTTTATTTTTCTTTTTTTTACGTGAATTTACAAAGTTCATACCATATTAGAAACGTTTACCATTTAAATTTTTTACATTTCCTTTCCCCGAATCTTGGGGAAATTTTGGCCCTTTTTTAAAAAAATCTTAGGGGTTCCCCCTAAAAAAACTTCCCAAACCGGTTATGGGGGAAAAACTGTCTTTTTTTTTAAAATCCCAAATTTGGTTTTTTTTTTCTATCTTTTTTTAAAAAAAAATTCTCTTTTTTTTTTTTAAAAACCCCCCTTCCCAACCAACCCTCCCAAAAAAAAAAAATTTTTTTTTTTTTTAAATTTTAGGGAAGGGGGATAGCCCTTTTGGGGATTTTTTCCTTTAAAAGCATTTTCCCGGGGAAAATCTTTTTTCCCCCCCCCCCAAAAAAAAAAACCCAAAAAAAAAAAAAATAAAAAACCCAAGGGGTTTTTTTATATAGCTTTAAAATTTTTTTTCCCCTTTTCAATTAATCAAACAACCCAAATTTCTTTTGGGGCCAAAAAAAACCCGAAACTACCTCTTTAACAATTTCGGTTTTTTGCCCCCTTCAACGGGTTTTCCCTTTCATTTTTTACCAAACCTTTTTAAACTAATAAAATGAATTTTTGTTATTTCAGGTCAAATATTTTTTTCAAAAAACTTTTATTTGATTTTTCTCGTATTTTAGGGTTTGGGGAAAATTTCCCTACAAATACGTTTTTTGGTTTTTTTTTTTTAATTTTTGCAAAAAATCCCTATTTTTTTTATTTTAAAAAAAATAATTTTCATGTATTTAAAAATTTTGGAATGTGTATTAAACCTTTGGGGGATTCCCTTTTCTGTTTTGTTAATAGTTTCCCCCGTTTCTAGTTTTTTTTCTTTAAACATTGGAAAAAAAAAGGGGGGGAAAACTTTTTGGGCCCCCGTTTAAAGGGGGGGTTTCATGTGAAAAAAAAAGGGGAGATGGTCATTGGAAAAAAAAATGGTTTTTTTTATTTAAAAAGTGAATTTTTGGTGAATTTTTTTAAATTTTTTTGTTTATTTTTTTTATGTTATGAAAAAGGAAAAAATTTTTGAAATGAGTGATTTTTATTACTTTACATTAAAAGATTAAAAAATTTTTTAAAAAAAATTTTTTTAATTTTTCCCTTTTGGGTAACAAATATTTCCCAAAAACCCTACTTTAATGGGGGAATATTCTTTCAAATTTTTTTTATATTTTTCCCTTTTTAAAAAATTTTACGAAAAAGTAAATTTTGTTTTTTTTTTTAGAATAAAAATCAAAAAAAGTAGAATTTTAAAAATGCCAGAGCTAAATGCAAATGTTTTTGGGAAGAATGTCTTTGTTTTTTGGGTATTTTAAAAAAAGGATTTTTTTTAAATTTTTGGGGAAAAAAGGAAAATTCAATTTGACCCTTTTTTTTCAAACGGTAAAACCCCTTTTTTTCAAATAAAAAAACGGGGTTTTTAAAAAAAAAAAGGGTTTTTCAAGGGAAAAGGAAAGGCCCAACGGGGGAAAGTCGGCAAACCCGATGGTTAAGGGAACAATTCGGGACTTCCCGATGGTTTTGAAAATTTTACGGGCAAACCAAAGGGAAAAAAAAAAACCTTTTTTTAAAAAAAATTTTTTTTTTTTTTTCCAAAAATTTTTGAAAAAAATTTTTGAAACCTGCCCAAAAAGGGAATAAGAACAAAAATTTTTTTATAAAATTTTAATTTTTGTTTTTTTTATTTTTGGGGTATTTTAATTTGGAGGGTTTACATCATTTTTAAAAGGAATGGTTTTTTTAATTGTTTTAAATCAAATTTTTAAAACGGGAAGAAACAAAAAAATAAAAAAATTTTTTTTTTTCCCAGATTGTAAGTTTCTTCACAAAAAACCAAAAAATTTTAAGTTTTCCCCAAGGGAAAAGAAAAAGGGGAAAAAATTTTTTTTTTCTCCAAATATTTTAAATTTTCAAAAAAAAAATTTTTTAAAATTTTTTTTTTTTTAATGTATTGGAAGCATTTAACCGTGGTTTATTTTTTTTAAATTTCAGAACGTTTTAAAATTTAAGCGTTTTTTTTGCTTACACACTTCTTGGCCAAGTTAAAATGTTTGGTAAAAGGGGGACAAAAAAATACCAAATCGAATTTTTTTATGGAAAATTTTGAAAAAAATTTTTTGGGTGAAAAAATTTGGTTTTTTTATGGTTTCTTTTCCCCCATATTAAAATGGGAGAATAGAAATTTTTTTTTTTTTTTATAAAAACTTATGATTATAGAATGGGAAATTTTAAATTTTAAATTTAAAAATTTTTTACTTTTTTTAATAATTAAAGAAAAAAATTTTTACGCTAAAAATTTTTACAAAAACCCTTTTTTGGGGAAAAAAAGAAAAATTTTTTTGGGGGAAAAAAAGGGGGCAAAAATAGTGTTTGGGGAGTATAATAAGGGGTATTTTGGGTAGGGGATGTTTTATTTGGGGTTTTTTAAAGGGGGGGTTTTTTATGGGGTGGGAAAAATTTTTAGAGGGGGTTAGAAAGGGGAAAGGGGTTTGTATAGGGGGAATAGTAAAAAGTTGATTTTGGGAAATTTTTGGGAAAATTGAAGTTTTCCTTAAAAAATTTCTAATTTTTTGGGTTTTGATTTTTGGGAAAAAATTCGGAGCCAATGTTTAAACTTTTTTTTTTTGTCCAAAATTTTTTTGGGGTTTTTTTGCACCCCCCTTTTTTCCTAGAAATTAATTTTTTTTTCCCCCCCCCCAAAATTTTGGAAAAATTTTTAGACCCCCCCGTCAGGAGAATATTGATTTTTGGTTAAATTTTTTTTATGGTTATGTGGTGTAACAATTTTGATTTTCCCCCCCTTAATTTTTTGCCCGAAAGGGAAAAAAATTGAAAATTTTAAAATTTAAAAATTTTTGAAAAAAATTCAATTTCTTTTTTTTTGTTTTTTCATTCCCCTCCAACCCGGGTACCTTTGTTTTTGGTTTTAAAAAAAGGGAGGGGAAAATTTTAGTTTTTCATGTTTTTTAATTTTTTAAGACTTTAGTTTTTTGCAGTTTTCCCTTTATTTTTTTTTCCCTTAACAGTTTGGACTTATTTGGGAAAAAATCTTTTCCATTCTTATAAAACATTCTATATTTTTTGTTTTTGTTTTTTTAGGGGGAAAAAGTTTTTAAGGGGGAAGGTTTTTAAATGGAGCCCTTGGGGGGTTTAAAATTTTGGGGAAAAAAATTGGTTTTTTAAAAAACTTAAAACCCCCTGGCCCAAAAAAACCCAAAAAAAATTTTAACCCCCCCCCCCCCCTTTTTTTTTAAAATTGGGTTTTTTCTTAAAAAACCAAAGAAACCCCTTTTTGAGGGGAAAAAAAAAAAAATTTTTTATCAAAATTTACAAAAAATTTAGTAAATACAAAACCTGGAATGAGTGGGAATAAAATGCTAACGGGGCATTTAAAAAAAAAGACTTGGGATTTAATTAAATTTTTTTTTAGTACGGTTTGTGAAGTTAAAAATTTTTTTTTTTTTTTTTTTTTTTTTTTTTTTCAACAAGTCGGCCGTCTCCCACCGAGGCAGAGTGACCAAAAAAAAAGAAAGAAAATCCCCAAAAAGAAAATACTTTCATCATCATTCAACACTTTCACCACACTCGCACATTATCACTGTTTTTGCAGAGGTGCTCAGAATACAACAGTCTAGAAGCATACACATATAAAGATACACAACATATCCCTCCAAACTGCCAATATCCCAAACCCCTCCTTTAAAGTGCAGGCATTGTACTTCCCATTTCCAGGACTCAAGTCCGACTATATGAAAATAACCGGTTTCCCTGAATCCCTTCACTAAATATTACCCTGCTCACACTCCAACAGATCGTCAGGTCCCAAGTACCATTCGTCTCCATTCACTCCTATCTAACACGCTCACGCACGCTTGCTGGAAGTCCAAGCCCCTTGCCCACAAAACCTCCTTTACCCCCTCTCTCCAACCCTTTCGAGGACGACCCCTACCCCGCCTTCCTTCCCCTATAGATTTATATGCTTTCCATGTCATTCTACTTTGATCCATTCTCTCTAAATGACCAAACCACCTCAACAACCCCTCTTCTGCCCTCTGACTAATACTTTTATTAACTCCACACCTTCTCCTAATTTCCACACTCCGAATTTTCTGCATAATATTTACACCACACATTGCCCTTAAACAGGACATCTCCACTGCCTCCAACCGTCTCCTCGCTGCTGCATTTACCACCCAAGCTTCACACCCATATAAGAGTGTTGGTACTACTATACTTTCATACATTCCCTTCTTTGCCTCCATAGATAACGTTTTTTGACTCCACATATACCTCAATGCACCACTCACCTTTTTTCCCTCATCAATTCTATGATTAACCTCATCCTTCATAAATCCATCCGCCGACACGTCAACTCCCAAGTATCTGAAAACATTCACTTCTTCCATACTCCTCCTCCCCAATTTGATATCCAATTTTTCTTTATCTAAATCATTTGACACCCTCATCACCTTACTCTTTTCTATGTTCACTTTCAACTTTCTACCTTTACACACATTCCCAAACTCATCCACTAACCTTTGCAATTTTTCTTTAGAATCTCCCATAAGCACAGTATCATCAGCAAAAAGTAACTGTGTCAATTCCCATTTTGAATTTGATTCCCCAAAATTTAATCCCACCCCTCTTCCCGAACACCCTAGCATTTACTTCCTTTACAACCCCATCTATAAATATATTAAACAACCATGGTGACATTACACATCCCTGTCTAAGACCTACTTTTACCGGGAAGTATTTCTCCCTTTTCTTCTACACACCCTAACCTGAGCCTCACTATCCTCATAAAAACTCTTTACAGCATTTATAACTTACCACCTATTCCATATACTTGCAACATCTGCCACATTGCTCCTCTATCCACTCTATCATATGCCTTTTCTAAATCCATAAATGCAATAAAAACTTCCCTATCTTTATCTAAATACTGTTCACATATATGCTTCAATGTAAACACCTGATCTACACATCCCCTACCCACTCTGAAACCTCCTTGCTCATCCGCAATCCTACATTCTGTCTTATCTCTAATTCTTTCAATTATAACCCTACCGTACACTTTTCCTGGTATACTCAGTAATTATCCCAGAAATATCTAGAATCGGCCACTCATTATTCTACAGAAGCTGCTTTCCCAGTAAATAATGCTTTCTAACTCTACCAGAGATTGATTGGGATTTTCACAGAGAAACCTGCCACTGCAAAAGATGATATATATCCAGGAACAAGTCACAATCTTAATAAATTTTTTTGCCCAATACAAAGAGAATAGAGCAGACCTTAAATATCTTCCATGCTCACAGAGGATCTCACTGATGAGACGAGAAAATGGCAATTAGGGCACCAAGAGGTCTGCATTCATCAGGTAATGGAATAGGTGCTTTCTTTTTTTTTATCACCTGAGCTCTCAGAGCTTTCACCTTTCTCATGGTAGCTGCTGGACTTCCCATGTCTTCCATCTTATACAGCAGGTTAAGTTCCGGGCTACTGCTGTAAAGTGAAAATCGCCGTAAAGTGAATCATAGTCTTATTTCACTTTTAAACACATATCAAAGCCTGATAACATGTTTACACTATCATATATTAAGTGAGCCATATAGCTAGGCCTAAAAAATGCATATACATTATACACATTACTTTAAAATATTTTTGGTTTTAGCTTATAGTGAGTTGTGAATGTATTTATTGTAGGAAGTCTGAATAAATTGAGAATGGACAGTTGAAAACCGCTGTATTAGCAAAACACTGTAAAGCGGGGCCTGCCTGTACTTGTGCTGAGGTCAGTATTTTGTTTGGTTTCTGGAAGGGTCAAGGCATTTTTGTTCAAGTATTTAAACTTGTTAGTAGACTGGTTCAGGAGAGATAAAGTTTGCAGTGAGGGACACCATGCTCAGTACAGTGGACCCCCACATAACGATTACCTCCGAATGCGACCAATTATGTAAGTGTATTTATGTAAGTGCATTTGTACGTGTATGTTTGGGGGTCTGAAATGGACTAATCTACTTCACAATATTTCTTATGGGAACAAATTTGGTCAGTACTTGCACCTGAACATACTTCTGGAGTGAAAAAATATCGTTAACCGGGGGTCCACTGTACTTCCAAAACTTGGTTCTTATCTTCCCCATGCTCCTTTCTAGTGATGTGACATCATTTATAAAAAACTTCCACAAAATACCAACATTATTTAACATTTATGGAGCTCTTTTCCACATTATAAGCACCTTATTTTGCATTTCCAAATTCAAATCACTTCATTACAAGTGTTATGAAGGCAGTAGCCTGTATAACACATGTCTTAATATCTCCTCAGTGTAATGGCTGTATCAGAGGGTTTGTATTGGGTGATAAACACACAACCTTCACACTTGGGCCCTCAACTGCAAGACTGGAGTATGAATACAGGAATTATCTAGAATAAGGAGAACTCTTAATGTTCTGGTTAGGTACATCTTCAGTGCAGTAATAAAATAATTGTTGAACCATTCAACAAATGGCCTTAGTTATTCATGCTGCCTTGTTAGACTGCCAACTATGAGGCCAATAGGTTTTGTTTTGCTTTTGTACTTGAAGTTGTCTGCACAGAGAAGCAAGATAAAGCTTCCTTAAGACAAGGTGCAAATTTTTCTAAGCTCTTGATGCATTTGCTTCTAGCGTAGCTCTGTCTTATCATTCAGCACCTGGTCAGAAATCATTTGTGTAATGTGATCAAGTGATGCACTCTTGCTACTAATGTTTAAGGCTGATTGTGGTTTTTAAAGATTTCAATCCATCCAGCACTTCAAATACACTGTTGTGAAGGCTCTCCTTTCTTCTTGCATACTTTTATATCAGGAGAAGGTTTTGTGCCTTATTATCTAAACACTATGCATGACCCTTTCTCTGTTTTCTCCTCAAGTCACACATTCAACAACTTTGATAACGTGTTTAGCTGTACAGTGGAACCTCAAATATCGAACTTTCTTTGGTCCAGAAGTCTGTTCGAGTGCCTTTACCGAATGAATTTATTCCCATTAGGAATAATGTAAATTAGATTAGTCCATTTCAGACCCTTAAAAATACACTTATAAAAGCACTTACAAAAATACACTTACATAATTGGTTGTGTTGGGAGCAGTTCAATTTTTGAGGTTCCACTGTATTTACCTCTGACATTGTTTGTGCCAAAGGGTAACAGAAACAATGGGAAGACCAGAGTGAGCTCATGGTTTACCATGGAGGTGTGGAGAAGCTAAGCCAAGTGTGTTAGAGTATGGAAAATGTTTAGAATTCAAAGGACTTGGGGAACCAGGGAATTGAGCTGAAGAGCCAGAAATGAAGATGCATGGATAAGGAGAGAGGCCCAGTAGCAATACGAGAATGATAGCATCAAAAGCCAATTCTGGCCAAAAGTTGTACAGCCACATCAGGAGGAACACAACAGTCGAGGACCAGGTAATCAGGCTGAGGAAGGGAGAAGGGGAGCTCAAAGGGAGTGGCCAGGAAGTATGTGAGGAGCTTATTTCAAGATTCAGGAAGGTACTTACAGTGAAGAGAGAGACTTCCAGCAAACCGAGGGAGTAGGGTGCACCAACAAGTTCTGGAAGCACTGCACACAACCAAGGATGAGGTGAAAAAATGGCTAAGTGAGGTAGATATCCTTGAAGGCATTGTACCCAGATAACATCTCCTTGGGTCCTGAGAGAGGGAGAAGATGTACTGTGTGTACCACCTACAATAATCTTCAATAAATCTATTGAAACAGGGCAACTGCCTAAGGTGTGGAAGATGGCAAATATAGTCCCAATTTTTAAGAAAGGAGATAGACAGGAAGCACTAAACTATAGACCTGTGTCGCTGACATGTATGGAAAGTTATGGAAAAGATTATCAGAAGAGTGGTGGAGCACCTAGAAAGGAATGGGCTCATACATGACAACCAGCATGGATTCTGAGAAGGGAAATCCTGCATCACAAACCTACTGAAGTTCTACGACAAGGTAACAGGAGAGAGGGATTGGTAGAATGCATATTCTTGGACTGTAAGGCTGTATAGTCCTTGTGGCTTAGCGCTTCTTTTTGATTATAATAGTAATAATTGGACTGTAAGGCTTTCGATACAATACCATACAAGAGAGGTTGAAATGCTAGAGGAGCAGGCAGGAATAGCAGGAGAATACTGCAATCAGGAAATACCAGACAGGAAGGAAATAATGTGTGTTGGTGTGTGGTGAGGTGTCAGAGAGAGTGTATGTGTCAAGTGGGATTCCACAAGGGTCAGTCCTAGGTCCAGTGCTGTTTCTAGTATACGTATATGTGAATGACATGACAGAAGGGATATATTCAGAGTACCCCTTTTTGCAGACGGTGTGAAGCTAATGAGAAGAATACAAATAGACAAGGATCAGGTAAGCCTACAAGGAGAGCTGGACAGGCTGCAAGCCTAGTTCCGACAAATGCAAAGTGCAAAGTCAAGAAGTTCGGGGAAGGACAAAGAAGTCTGCGGGCAGAGTGCAGCCTAGGAGGTCAAAGGCTGCAAAATTCACTCTAGGAAAAGGCTCTTGGGGTGACACGTCATACTGAGCACATCTGAAGCACACATCAACCAAATAACTGCTGCAGTATATGGGCACCTGGCAAACCTAAGAATAGCATTTTGACATCTAAGTAAGGAGTCATTTAAGACACTGTACACTGTGTATGTTAGGCCCATATTGGAGTATGCAGCATCAGTATGGAATACACACTTTGTCAAACACATCAAGAAATTAGAGAAAGTGCAAAGGTTTGCAACAAGACTAGTCCTGGAGCTAAGGGGCATGTCCTACAAGGAGAGGTTAAAGGAAATCAACCTGACGACATTGGAGAACAGGAGGGATAGGGGGGACATGATAATCGACATATGAAATACTGAGAGGAATTGACAAGGTGGACAGGGACAGAATGTTTCAGAGATGGGACACAGGAACAAGGGGGCCACAACTGGAAGTGAAAACTCAGATGAGTCACAGGGATGTTAGAAAGTATTTTTCAGTCATAGAGTTGTCAAGAAGTGGAAGAATCTGGAGAGTTATGCAATGGAGGCAGGATCTATACAAGAGGTACTATAAAGGATTTATACAAAAGGTACTGTAAAGCTCATGGAGTAAAGAAGCAGGGCTAGGAGCTGTGAATCAACCCTTGCAACCACAAATAAGTGAGTACTCACACTTGTGGAGCAGGTTCCTTATTGTATTCACCTTTTTTGTTTGTCTGGGTTCATTTATGTTTAAAACACAGGAGCATTATTGGTACCATTGATTAAACCCTCCAAATCTTCAGGAATGTGAGGAACAGTGTGACGTGACCCTTTATAATTTCACTAGTGAAGAAGCTAAAGACTACCTTGATCTTGAATGGAACACTTAAAAAATAGGATTAGTACATGTATTATGCTCAGGAAACAGGTAGCAGGCTTTACGGTACTATTACTTAATGCATTCATCAGAACAGGAGCCATGACAGGTTCCCAGGCTTCTGAAATGAATAAAACTGTTTTTTTGAAGTTTTCACTGCCCTTTGGTGCTCTAAATTCCACAGGTTCTCTCATGAATTTGTCGAGGCAGTGGAATTTCCGACTCTTAATTCCACAGGTTCTCTCATGAATTTGTCGAGGCAGTGGAATTTCCGACTCTTAATTACTCCTTGATCCATGGGCTGAATCAGGAACATACAGTTAGTAAAGCACATAGCAAAACAAATTTGTGTAATTGTTGAAGCATTTATTTATTTGAGAGCATTTATCAAGCAGACTCAGAGTCTTGCAGTCTTCAAAAAACCTTTCTTTCCTGCAATGACTCCGGGTTTCAGGCATAAAATATTTATCAGATCAGTCCCAGTGTTTATTAGATCAGTTTGCTAGTTGGACCACTAGTGAAAGGGAAACACTGGACACTCTCAAACCCATGCAGATGAGCATTTTCTTTTTCCAGTTAAGTGGAGCTCTTAATTGTGTTTAAGCTACATTCTTACATGTGAAGACTGTTTACCGCTTGGGTTTCATCATCCCATAGATTGATTTCTAATATATTTCAGACATTTATGTTGAATTTTGTGACTGTATTTATCAACTCTTGTAGGCAGCATCAGCAACTGTGATGAATGCTGTGTCAAAATTTTAAACTTGTATACTCAGCTTTAGAATATTTAATCTTTATCTTCATTTCTGCATGATCTGGTGAAACCAGTCATATAAAATTTTGTACACAAAGGAACTTTGAGATCCACTTACTGACCATGACCATACCCTTAACACTGTCACTGAGAAAAGAACTTGGAGATTTATCTGTTCTGTGTCCTCATATCATGATCTACTTCCTGCAGTAATGCTGCTACTTGCTGAATTGTTAGAGCAGTTCTCTGCACTGAACCAAGGCATTTCTCTAGCAGTGGCATTACTGTTCATACTTTATGATCTTGAATTAAACTCAGGCACTGTATGATCCCCATGAGTCTAGTACTTCCCCATGAATATAATAATAGTACAATCTTTAAACAATTTATGCTTTTATCTTTGATATTATAGTCACGTCACATGCCATTAAATTAAGATGTATAATTGCACTCCTAAATAGGGTACTCAATATACATTTATAAACAATAACAAACTGCGGCTAGCCAGGGGATCAAACCCGTGTTGTATTAGCCTGCTTCGTGGGAAGAGGGAGAAAATTCACAACGCTCTAAACCACTGGACCATACAATCCTACTACAGCATGACCTAGCAAACTAGGCTTGCAAGGACATATGATGGTGTGGTTGCCTCAGAGCTAATTTCATTATATTCTCCGTTTGGTGTACTAGCCTCCACAAGCAGTACATATATTTGTAGGATTGTATGGTCCAGTGGTTTAGAGCGTCGTGAATTTTTGCTCTCTTCTCACAAAGCGGGCTAAAACAACACGGGTTCAGTCCCCTGGCTAGCTGCAGTTTGTTACTGATTCAATACCACTTGTTCGCGGTTACAATAATACATTTATAAGTATTTACTGTACTGCAAAATGTATGAAAAAAAAAGAGATCAGACATTTCATGTGTTTCAGTCATCATGATGTTGGACACAATGGCATAGGTCACCCACAGAGTTCTGGCACAGAAGATTACTTCTTAATCAAAGGCAAATGGTGTCAGAAAAATCCTGATTATTTTATCCAGACAAGTGTGGTACAACTGTATTACTTAACTACTGAAATGAGGATTACTGCAATTTTGTACTGTATACACATGTAAAAATAAAATGTTAACCACAGGGTATTTCAGTATCCAGAACACACTACAAAGTGATCCTTACTGACATACTTAATGGTATACCTTTACAAAGTACAAGGTAATATATTTTATTACGTGACACTCTACCCATCAAGAAGGTCACCTTGATGTTGGTGAAGGAATCTTTGATGCAAAGAATTAATGCTGCCTTCCTTTTCCTTAGAAGAAACTGATGACCTCCACTTTCCCAGGTGCTGTGTGACCCCTGTTACAACAAACCCTTGTGGTTTAGCACTTCCCCATGTTAACCTGTCAGGTTAGGAGCCCATCTCCAGCTCGACAGAAGCCTCTTCATGGTTTGTGTAACAATAAAGTGTATTCCTTTATTATAAAACAGCTTTAAAATTCATATCAAGTGTCCCAAGCCAACAGTAAGGAAGAATAAGGAATATAAAACTTTATTTGATATGGATTCCTCAAGGTAGATTCCTTGATGACAGGGGTTCTTGATCTATGGATACTTCAAGGGAGGTTCCTCGATGCTGGTGAGGGCTTCTTGATCTATGGATACTTCAAGGGAGGTTCCTTGATGCTGGTGAGGGCTTCTTGATCTATGAATACCTCAAGATAGATTCCTTGATGCTGGTGAGGGGTTCTTGATCTATGGATACTTCAAGGGAGGTTCCTTGATGCTGGTGAGGGCTTCTTGATCTGTAGATACCTCAAGGTAGGTTCCTCTGGCGAGGGGGTCTTGATCCATGAAATTGGACCTGTGCTCCAATTCCTTGAATCCAGTCAGGATGCCTTCCATTTTCCCAGTCGCCGTATGACCCCTACAGGTTTAGCTCCCCCCCCCCCCCATGAATGCAATCATAAATAATGTAGTAAATAGAGTCTTGAGGTAGGAATTGATGCAGTACGACAAGTTGATAAGTGAGAGTCGGCAACATTGGTGGGAGGTGGGGGTCCCTCAGGTGTTGTGAGTCAGTACGTCTAGTGTCAGTGTCGGGTTAATATGTTGCTCCACCAGCTTATCATCCTCTATCACGACCACTATTAGTAACTGCACTTCATTGATCGGTGAGTCGAACAATAACCAACGTTGACTTTTTTCATTTTTTTTTTAAACTGTGAACTTGGTGTTTTGTGACTGAGTGTTGGTTAGTGCACTGATCACATCTTGGATGTGTAATTAATTACCGGGTCCGCTCTTCAAGACGTACAGTGTGACCCATCCAGGGTTGGTACTTGTTTTTGATAATGGTAAATAGTGTAATTAATAATTATGCCTTGTATGTACTACAAGCATTCTCTCTGTCCTTCCTCTTATGTCCCCTCCCTCTTCTCTTCCCTCCTCTCTTTACTCTCCTCTCCTTTCTCCTCTCCTCCCCTCCTTTCTCCTCTCCCCTCCTTTCTCTCTCCCCTTTCTCCTCAACTCTTCTCTCCTCCCTTACCCTTTCTCCTCTCCTCTCTGCTCCTCTCTTTGCTTTCTCTTCTCTCTTCTCTCCTCTCCTCTCTCTCTCTCCTCTCTCTTCTCTCCTCTCTCTTCTCTTCTCTCTCTTCCTCTCCTCTCCTCTCTCTTCTCTCTCCTCTCTCTTCTCCTCTCTCTCTTCTCTCCTCTCTTCTCTCCTCTTTTTTTTTTTTTTTTTTTTTTTTTTTTTTACACAGGGTTTGACAAGGTTAAGGATCATTAGCTTTATTGACAGCTATTTACAGGTTAAGGATTCCTAACTTTATTGGCAAGCTAAGAGCTGTTACCTACATCAGCTCATTTGAAAGCATTTTTATTGTTATGAGACAAAGGAGGATGACAAAGATGATCCCATGTATCAGAAACCTTCCCTATGAGGATAGACTAAGGGCCCTGAAACTGCACTCTCTAGAAAGACGTAGAATTAGGGGGGATATGATTGAGGTTTATAAGTGGAAGACAGGAATAAATAAAGGGGATGTAAATAGTGTGCTGATAATATCTAGCCTAGACAGGACTCGCAGCAATGGTTTTAAGTTGGAAAAATTCAGATTCAGGAGGGATATAGGAAAGTACTGGTTTGGTAATAGAGTTGTGGATGAGTGGAACAAACTCCCAAGTACCGTTATAGAGGCCAGAACGTTGTGTAGCTTTAAAAATAGGTTGGATAAATTTCTGAGTAGATTGTGGGTGGGTGTGAGTTAGACCTGATAGCTTGTGCTAACGGGTCGGTTGCCGTGTTCCTCCCTTGAGTCAATGTGACCTGACCTGACTAGGTTGGGTGCATTGGCTTAAGCCGGTAGGGACTTGGACCTGCCTCGCATGGGCCAGTAGGCCTTCTGCAGTGTTCCTTCGTTCTTATGTTCTTATGTTCTTATGAGACATACAAGTAGGAAACAGGATGAAGTTGGAGCCATCTGTGGGCCAGCATTTTCATTTGATCAACTGACTTTATCTCGTTGACATCATTATGCTGTACGAATGTGCTCTCCTCTCCTCTCTTTTTTCTCTCTCTCTCTCTCTCTCTCTCTCTCTCTCTCTCTCTCTCTCTCTCACTGCTTTACTGTTAAATTTCCTTTTCTCTCCAAGTTTCCTCTTTTTTCTTTAACTCCTTCCTTATTTTTTTAAACACCGACATAACTTATTAGGACGGGCTAACATAGGCTTACTTGGCTTTACTAGGTTATCCTGGGTTAATTTCTACCCAAGTTACTGTTTAAGACCACAGTACGAAAGTTAAATAAGAACTGGCTTAGCTGGCTTCAGTGTGGCTGCAGGTATATAAGGAGAACACAAGATAACTGTGTTGGTACACATTGTTGTCTAGGGCAAGTTTATTTAGGTACAAGCTGGGAGGGGCCCCAGAAGCGACTGTAGTCCACATTACTTAAAAATTTTGGGTCTACTTTATGAGAAGTGGTTGCGAAGGGACCCCGTAACAAGCTTTAGGGCCCCAAAAATGTTGGTCCGCCACTGGGTATAGGTACACATAAATACAGTTGCATAAATTATCATACATAGTAACTTGTAAATTACCTTGGATAACCCCCCAAAAAAGTCAGTGACTTATTTTCATTGGGGTCCTTGACAAAGATCCCAGTGGAAATAAGTCTGACTTTTTTTTTTTCGTCCCCGGTACAGGTGGAAACATTAGGACGTGTTTCCTTAAGACGTCTCCTGTCCATGTTCACCTGTCAGTAAAATAGGTACCTGGGTGTTAGTCGACTGGTGTGGGTCGCATCCTGGGGACAATTAACCTAATTTGCCCAAAATGCTCTGGATAACAAGGGGCTTTGCATATAGTAGTATATCATTGATGTCAGCTAGGCCTGTATACCTTGTACTTGTAGAAATAGATTATTATTATTATGATAATTTGTGTAACTGTATTTGTGTACCTGCACTTAAATATACTTACCTAACAAGGTAACTCAACCTGTTAGACAGGATTGTTGTTCAGGGATTTGCTGGAGAAGTTTTGAAACAGGGCCCGTTATTATTCTTGAGGAAGTGCCGAACCCGCATGGGTCATGACAGTTCCTGGGAAAAGTGGTTGTAAGTTCCTAGGATCAAGAACCCTTAGCCTAGAGGAACAAGTTCTGTATCTGCACACAAATCACTCCCAACGAAAAAAAAAAAAAAGACTAAGTAGACGGTGCAACATACCCTCAGTGAAAAGCAGGGGTGCTGTGAGCACAATAAGAGATAGCACAGTAAATGTCAGGGGCTCAAGACTGTTCAACAGCCTCCCAGCATACACAATGGGGATTACCAATAGATCTCTGGTTGGTCAGTGGTCAGTCGTCATGTGAGGTCACAGACCCTGAGCTGCTTTGGGGATTAGCGTGGACGGTTACAAAGCATGGCTTGCTTCTGCAGTGTTTTAAAAATTGAGGTTGGAGAGTTGAAGGAGAGGTCTTGCTTCTCCAGGAGGAGATTAGGAGGCTGAAGGTCCACCTCAATGGGTCTGGGAGAGAGTGTGAGGTGGCTGGAGTTGTGGGGAATGAGGCTTCTAGCAGTGAGGTGCAGCCCAGCACCTGCTACAAGTGGCGAGTGGTTCACAGTAATGGGAGGCGCATCAGAGTAAGGAAAGTTAATAAATAATAAGGAAAGTTAAGAGTGAAGATCTGAAGGTAGGAAATCGCTTCTCTGTTCTTCAGGATGAATGTACTTCAGTGGCCAGTGAAGGTAAGGGTACTACTGCCCCTGCTAATGGAGGTAAGCGCATTCTTGTGGTTGGTGACTCAGGTAAGATATATTGACCGTGCTTTTTGTAATAGGAATAAGAAGATGAGAGATAGAGTGTGCTTCCCTGGAGCTGGTGTTATGGACCTTGTCAACAGGCTAGATAATATCATGTCAGGTAATGGGAACAAGCCCATTATCTGTCTCAGTGCTGGTGGAAATGATATTGGGAAGGGTAGGAGAGAAGAGCTGCTAGATAAGTACAGGTCAGCTATAGATTTCATTAAGTCTAAGGAAGGGATCCCAATCATATGTAGCATCTTGCCTAGAAGAGGAGTAGGAAATGAATGGTTGTCTAGGGCAATTGGTGTAAATTGCTGGCTAGACAGATACTGCAAGGAACTTGCAATCCCATTCATTGACAACTGGAACAGCTTTTATGGCAAACATGATATGTATGCAAGGATGGGGTACATCTCTCTGGGGCTGGGGTGGTAGCACTTGCAGACTCGATTGAGAAGGGCCCTTGGTGAAATGCTATGATTTTAAACTGATGGAAGATAGAGGTATGGGTGTGTGTGGGAAACAAGCAGGTTGCAACACTAGGTTGGAAACAGTAAATGTATAAAAGGCATTCAGCATGAAGTTATAAAATAAAAACAATATATCAGGTCAGCAAACAAAGGGGGACAGCAGAGGGCAGCAAGGGACTAGCTCCCTTAAGGTTTACTATACTAATAGCAGGAGTGTAAGAAATAAGATAGATGAGCTAAGATTAATTGCAAGTGCAGGAAACATAGATATTATTGCTATAACAGAGACATGGCTCAATCTGAAAGATAGAGAGATGCCCTCTGAATGTCACATACAAGGCTATAAATTATTCACACGGGACAGGTCAACAGGAAAAGGTGGTGGAGTAGCGTTTGTATGTCGAGACAATTTAAATTGTTGTGTTAGACAAGATATTAAATTGAAGCACAGCCACGAATCTGTTTGGTTACAGCTTCTGAGGACTGAGAAAAACTAATTTTGGTGTGATTACGGGGCCCCAAACTTGATAGGAGTGCAGTAAACTTCTATGGACAAATTCGTAAGGCATCTACATACGAAAATTTTGCTAAGGGAGATTTCACATAGACAGATTGACTGACCCAATTTGACGGGAAAATTTTAAAGAGTCAGGTGACTTTCTTGTTTACGATCCGGGATTGTTTTTAAAACATTTTTGGGTAAACAGAGCAACTAGGTGAAATAACCTCCTTGACTTTGTTCTTCCATAGGAAAACAAAATTAATAATTCTGAGTTAATGATGATTTGGGGAAAGTGACAAAATCACTAGTTTAATAATCATGGAATTCCCTAAAATGGCAATCAAGTCTCGGGTCCCCTGACTTTCCGCTTGGCTATTTCATAGGACTGAAAAAATTACTTAGGGGGGCCCTGAATGGAATGACCTGACAAAGGGTCAGGTAGGGGGGTGATGGTTTGCCGAAATGAGCTTTCCAGGGCATAGTTCTAGCTGCCAGTCAAAATGTTCCAAATGGGGAAAATTCAGATCAAACAAAAAAAATCCAAATGGATAACAATAGATTAAAATACTAATTGGTCAAAAGAGAGGCAATAAGGCAAATCAAAAGAGGAAGGGCAATTAAGAATCGATATATTCAGTTAAAAAAGGGAAATAAAAAAAAGGGAATTAGAAAAGCAAAAGGGGGAAGTTATGAGGTTAAAGTTGCAAAGATTCGAAAAAAAAACCCCAAAAGGTTTCTTTCAGGTAACAGAAGTAAGATCAGGGACAAGATAGCCCACTCAAAGTTCCTCGGGTCAGCTCACGACAGTGATAAGGAAATAAGCACATGGAATGGAAGAGAATTTTTTCCGATAGAGGCATTTTGACAAATAGGAGCAGAGAGTTTGCCA